GTTAGGGTTAGGGTTAGGGTTAGGGTTCGGGTTAGGGTTAGGGTTAGGGTTAGGGTTAGGGTTAGGGTTAGGGTTAGGGTTAGGGTTAAATCTAGGGCTGGGGCTGGGGTTATGGTTAGGGTTAGGGTTGGGGTTAAACTAGTCTGGGGCTGGGGCTGGCCAGCAGGGGATCTTGGTGCCACCCAGCAGTCCAGCAGCCCTGCTCCTGACGGGAAGCATCCTGGCCCCTAGTGTCTGCTTTTCTTCTCATGGTTGGGGATGCCTGGTCCCTGACATGTGATTGAGCGCTGCAAAGCACTGAGGACAGCCTGGCGGCTCTTACTGCCGCTGTCTCCTCCATTTCTGCACATCTGCTGTCGCTCAGCAGTGTTTATAGGGGGAAAGCAGCTCTGCCTCCCAGGGCCGACACCCCCGTGTATGTCCCCGGCCTGGTGCAACTCCACAATAATGACACTAATCTCAACAAAACTGAGGGTTAGTTTCTCTCACATCACAAGCTGGAGGTGGACGCCCAGGATCAGCTTGGAGAATGCAGGCCTGCTCAGTAGCCAAACTGTGCCTCTGCTGAGCCACAGCAAGGTCCAGAACAGTTGCTAGTGCTCCACCCATCACAACCACATTCTGCCCAACTTAAAGAGGCGCAGGCAGGATGAAGGCACACCCCTGCCCTTCTAAGGACTTTCAGGAGGCACCACAACAGACCTCTACATACAGCTCACAAAAGCCAGAACTTAGACACAGCCAGATCCAGCTGCAAGGGGTGCTGGGAAATGTAGTCTTCTAAATAGACAGTTTTATCCCAGATAAAACTTGGGACTCCAGTTCTTCCATTAAAAGAAAGCAGAAGTGGACGTTAGGGGACAGGAGTCTCTAGGCCAGGCAGTCAGACAACCTGAGTGTGGAGACGGAAGAAACCAGAAGTGGGACTAAGAGGGGCTGCCCACCATGGGCCCCGACCTGTGAGACCAGAGGGTGGGGCACGCAGAGTTCAGACCAAGGGCTGCCGAGTGTTCTGGGAAGTGCTGAGCTGCTGAAACATCGCCAGCAAGGGTCGCCTAGCCCCATTACCATGGCACCTGAAAGCCAGGCACAGGGTCGCCTAGCCCCATTACCATGGCACCTGAAAGCCAGGCACAGGCCACCCTGCCGGCCTCTCCCGGCCACACCAGAGCCGCCTGGTCACCAGCCCATGACGAGCGCCTGGCCTAGGTGTCTCCCCGCCCTCGCCTGCCAAAGCCCAGGCACTGAGGCTACATTAGGGGAGCAGCGAAGAAACCAGGCCGGGCGGTGCGGGTGGAGGGGACCCCGCCCGCCTCTCCCAGCCATGTGCAGGGGCACCTGCTGCTCAGCAGAGCGCCTTCCAAGGCAAGCCCTGTGTGGCGTGCGGCATCTACGTGCGTCAGCATGTGTTTCTGGGCAGATGAAAGAGCCCTGCTGCAGGAAATCTTTCCACGCGCTCCGGCAGCCCCAGCCAGCACACGGCTGTTGACGTCAGGTCAGCAGTGGCCATGCAAGGGCTGAGAACTCAGCTGTCACTGCTGCCACCTCCAAGCCTGGGGACAGACGTGTCCCACACCCGGGCCGCACGACCTGTGTCTGTCAGCACCACCGGCCTGGACCAAGGCAGGGCTGGGTGTGCAGAGGCTCAGGGGACAAGGACAGGCCTCAGCAGAGTCCTGGTCACACTGCAGCCAGGGGCAGATGGGACATCTGTGGAGACCGCGCCAACCTCCGGAGCTCCTGGGACGGTCTGTGCCCAAAGCAGTCTGCAGCACTGGGGACTGAACCCAAGGAGCACCAAGCTACATCCGCAGCCCTTTTTAAAGTTTATTTTGAGACAGGATCTCACCAAGCTGCCCAGGCTGGCCTCAAGCTTGCAACCCTCCTGCCTCAGCCTCCCGAGTGCTGGGATTCCTGGGATGTGCCACCCCACCTGGCTCAGTCCTTCATTCTGATTGTGTCTGGGTTCCTGACTCTCAGCCTCTCTGGGCCTGGCCTGGCAGGGAGACTAGGAAAGACATCGGGAGCAGGGAGCAGGACTTGGGCCTTTCGGAGCCCTTCCTGGGCCCCCAGAGGGGCAGGACCCAGGCACCACTGGCACTGTGACGCCTCTGGGCTTCACAAGGGCCGGGCCAGGCAACTTCGGTCAGGAGAGGGTGTGTTGGGCTGTGTGTGACAGTGTGTGTGTCACATGCGGCTGTGTGTCCACGTGGCCCTGCACTCTCTGCCACCCAGAGCCCAGCGGCTCCCAGGCTGCAGCACAGTGTCGGTTTCGCGCGGGCTTGGGCCTGTGGCCAGCGAGGCCTAGGACGAGGAGCTGTGCGTCACCTGGCTGGGCCCTCCGTGTCTCTGGGCGTGTGTGTGTGCGGCTGCCTGTGCGTGCGTCCTGCTGTGACTGCGGCTTGGCCGTGGCTGTGGAGTCCAGGAGTGGCCCCGCATGGTCACCCTGTGTCTGTCCCATAGGGATCCCCCCGGCCAGCGGCACAGGGACACTGCAGATCTATCTTATCGACATTAACGACAACGCCCCGGAGCTGCTGCCCAAGGAAGCGCAGGTCTGCGAGAAGCCAGGCCTCAACGCCATCAACATCACTGCGGCGGACGCCGACGTCGACCCCAACATCGGCCCCTACGTCTTTGAGCTGCCCTTCGTCCCCATCACCGTGCGAAAAAACTGGACCATCACCCGCCTGAATGGTAAGCACAGCCATGAGGAGGGGGCCCCCAGGTCCGGGTGCAGCCCCGGGGCCCTCTGCTCCCGGGCAGCACCCAGGAGAGAGCTGAGCCCCGCAGACAAGGCTGGGGACCCTGCCCACCGTGCCTCGGCTGTCAAACCGCTCCCTCCACCCCGCAGGCCCCGAGGTCCTCCACCAGCACGCACACGCGGGCACATGTGCCGCTCTGACACTGACCCCTGCTCACTGTCTGCCCGGTGTGCACTCACTGGGCCCCAACCCATGCGTTTCCCAGACACAGACGTGGAGCCTAAGAGGCTCAGAGTTCTTAAGTGTGGACGGCGCTCTGAGCATGCTCTCTAGGAATGCAGTGCGGATCTCGACCTCTAGCAGAGCACTCCGTCCACCAACTTGCACCAGTGCTGAATATTACCGCTTCCAAAGCACTCTGCCAACTCTGCAGCCAAAACTATCGCTTCACTTACATCTCTTCACTACAATATTTTTTTTTTTTCTGTTTTGAAACAGTCTCACTACATAGTTCAGGCTAGGGTTGAATTTGCTATGTAGCCCAGGCCAGCCTTGAACTCGTGGCAATCCTCCTGCCTCAGCCTCCCAAGAGCTGGGATTACAGGTGTGCACCACCATGCCCAGCACATAAATTTTTTAATATATATTTCTTAAAGTAAATTAATGTGTTTAGTTAAATGTTTAAATTTAATGTATTTCTGGTTTAGTTTCTTTTGTGAACTGTAGTTCACAAAACCTTCCTGCGGCAGTTTTTCTTTGGAGAGGTTTTTCCCTCATTGATTTGGTAAAACTCTATGTAGTTGGGAAATTATTTTGTTATCCTCATGTTGGAATGGCCTTTCACTTGCACTGTCTTTAACTTAATGTTGTGTGTGTGTGTGTGTGTGTGTGTGTGTGTGTGTGTGTACACGCACGCACATGGTGTGTGAAGCCAGGTAGCTCCAGCTTTCATGCCATCATATGCGTGCCCCTGTTGGGAGTCCTGCCGGGTAGGAGGCTGCCCGCCGTAAACGTTTGCGTTGCTTTGCTCCAGGTGACTATGCCCAGCTGAGCTTGCGCGTGCTGTACCTGGAGGCCGGGATGTACGAGGTCCCCATCACCGTCACAGACTCTGGGAACCCTCCCCTGTCCAACACGTCTGTCATCAAGGTCAAGGTGTGCCCCTGCGACGAGAACGGCGACTGCACCACGGTGGGCGCCGTGGCGGCGGCTGGTCTGGGCACCGGAGCCATCGCGGCCATCCTCATCTGCATCGTCATCCTGCTGAGTGAGTGCGCCCGGCCCTGGGCCTGGGGGGGCTCGCTTGCAGGATGGCCGGGCCGGAGCCCAGGCTCCCCACCACAGCCGCGTCACTCGGCCTCATCCTCCGCAGAAATCTCTCAGAAACCCCACCCATAACGGGAAATCGGGGTTGCACTTTCCTGGCACGCCCAGGACGAGGGCTGCCCGACCCAGGAACTGGAGGTGTCTCTTGGGCCCTGGCCCCTCCCCCTCTCCCCACTGTGCCTCCCAAGAGCCCCGTAACCCAAAACCTGGCTCCCTCGGACCCTAAAACGCCCGCAGGAAGCTCTCATGTGGATGTTGGGGGGGAAGGACCGCTCCGTCTGTCAACATCTTGTCCAAAGTTCCAAGGAACCTATCTGATTGGGCTGGCTCAGGTCACATGCTCACCCAAAAGCCAATCACCCGCCAGGGAATGGACTGTGCTCTGGGCCACAACCAGGACCCACCTTCCAGGGGTCTCTTGGATCTCCCCGAACCGAATGAGAGTGATGGCTGTGAGGGAATGACCCCAGTGTCCCTGCTCCCCTCCTCCCTGGGACAGTCATTCTGGCCCGCGGACGGCGCAGGTACCACGGTGGAGACAGTGAAGGGGGCAGACGGCTGGGACGCGCCTCACCATGCGCATCTGAGCCGCGACGCTGTGCTCTGCGGGGTGGGCTGGAGCCTCGGTGCGGTCCCACTCTAGCCGGCTGCCCTCCGGACCGGAGCAGCCGGCCCCAAAACCCCGGATCTCTGAGAAAGGGCTCTGCCTTTTTCTGTGTCCTAGCTCTTCTGCACGTGTGCCTGCATGTGCGTGTGTGTTAGTGGGGATTGAACCCAGGACCTTCGCACTGAGCTACATCCACAGCCCTGTTTGGGGGGGCATTGTTTGTTTCTTTTGTTTTTGTTTTTGTTTTTGCTTTTCTTTTGTTTTTGTTTTGTTCTGTTTTGTTTTGTTTTTTGAGACAGGGTCTTGCCAAGTCACTAAATTGCCCAGGCTGGGCTCCAACTTGCAGTCCTCCTGCCTCAGCCTCCCAGAGAGCTGGGAGTACAGGTGTGCCCCTCTGAAAGCCGGTTTCATTTCCAAGACTTACCTTGCCCACTGCTGTCAGGGCAACAGAGTTCTCTGTGTGAAAGAGTAGGGACTGGTTCTCCTCTTTTTGTTGTTGTTTTTTTGGTTTTTTGGTTTTTTGGGTTTTTTTCAGTACCAGGGATTGAACTCAGGACCTCCCGCTTGCCAGGCAGGCAGGGTGCCGCTGAGCTAAACCCCCAGCCCCAACTGGTTCTCCTTTGAAGACACACCCAGGCAGGTGCTCTCCCAGACACACCCAGGGGTGCTCTCCAGAGCATGAGGGAAGGAGTGTGTGAGACCCCATCTCAGCAGAAGCCTGGCCTGGGGGCACCAGCAGGTGATGCCTTGGGGGGCTTACTCCTCTGCAAGCCCCTCTCGTCTTGTCCCCATGGTGGGCAGGCCTGCGCCCAGGCTACGGACACAGCCACCTCTGCAAGGCCTCATCCTCCCATCCTCCCTGTCCAGCCAGGATAGGCTCTGGGTTCAGGTTCTGCCTCGGCTGCTCATGGAGGTGGGGCTCCTGCCTCCTCCAGTTCCTCCCCACAGCCTGGGACCCAGCAGGGCTTTGTCCCGCATCCTCGGGGGACCCTGTCCCTCACTCCCAGCACTCCTCACCACACCTGCACTCGGCCCCTGCGTCTTTGGGCCTGTTTCCTGCCTGTGAGATGGGAAGGCCATGGGAGCTGCAGGGAGGATGCACCCTTCCTCCTGAGCCCACAGGGCAGGCACGGACCCCTCTGAAAGCCAGACGCAGACGAGGAGGGCAGTCAGAGATGTGTGCATGGGGACTGGTGCCCGGGGCCTCTCAGAAACAAAGACACCAGGGGTCTGGAGATGAGCAGGCAGCCAGGACAGGGGCCTGGCAGTGACCTGGGGGGGGCGTGCTGGGGGGACGGCTGCACCCACAGTGGGAAGGTCAGGTACTGCCCTCCTTCGGTTACTAGCACATGTGTGCCGTACAGCGATCACCTGCATCGGGGCGCTGGCACACACAGCCGCCTCTCCGTCCTTTACGCACCCCCGGCCCTGCTCTCCCCATCTCTGAAAGTCCACCACCCTGCTCCCTGTCTCCTTTCCTTCCGCTCTTTACCTACAGTTGGGGCTGGCACAGAGTCTCACTTAGCCCCGGGGCTCCAAGGTGCAACCGTTCTCCTGCAAATGACTCAGACGCTCATTCTTTATGGCAGGGTGGAGCGCCCTGGTGTGCAGACGCCATGTTTGCCCTATCCGCTTGCCCACCGATGGACAATTGGCCACTTCCAAGATCCAGCTATTCTGAGCTGAGCTGCTCTAAACAAGGGTGGGCCTATTTTGCTGTGGTACAATGTCTTTACCTCTTCCAGGAAGGTATCCAGAAGAGGTATAGCTGGGTCACATGGAATTTCTTTTTTTTTTGTTCGTTTGGGATTTTTTGAGACAAGGTCTCACTGTGCAGTTCAGACTGGACTTCAGCTCACTTTGTAGCCCAGGCTGGTCTTAAACTTGCAATGATCCTCCTGCCTCAGCCTCCCGAGTGCTGGGATTACAGGTGGGAATTTCTAGCTTTGGTTTTCGAGGAAAACCACACAGCTCGATGCACATACGTCCCGTGTGTGCACGTGTAACCAGGTGCATGCAGGTGTACACACACACACACACGTGCATATACCCGTGGAGATGTGAATGTTGTGTGCACACGTGTGTATGTGCATGTGTGCACGTGTGCATGCCTGCACTGGTTTGTGTGCCTGTGTGTTTATGTGTGTCCACGTCCGTGCTCCTGTGTGCACGAGCAAACACACCCATCTGTACATGTGCACAGTGCATGCGTGCTCATGGACCCTGCCTGGGTCCCCCTTGTCCTCCCTGAGCTCCCACAGGCTCAGCTACAACTCAGGGGACGCTTCTCCCTCGGCAGCTCCAGCCAGGACACTGTCATCCCCTCTCCCTCTGTTCAGAAGAGTGATGGAAAGAAAGGCTTACTCATGCCCGCCCCCCCCACCGCCCTCCTGCTCCCCAGTCCAAGCAGGCCACCTCCTCAAGGTGGGCTCAGGAGGAGGGCAAGGAGGCCCAGCTGTGGATTCACTGAACTGCAAGTGGAAATTCTCAGAAAAATATTTGTGACTGTGCTGAGCCTGTAGACCTCATTATTCCCTGAGCAACATGGCATGACAACCACACAATGTGTACATTGTATCAGCTATTGGAGGTCACTAAGCGGTGATTTAAAATACACCGGGAGGGGAATGCAGGGCACACAGTTTCTATACAAATAGGATGCAAGGGACTGGAGCATCCGTAGATTCCAGTACCCCCAGGGGCAGGGACAGCCAGGCCCCCAAGACGCTGAGGGAAGCTGCAAGCAAAGGCTTAGAACCTCACCCCACTGCCTGAGCAGGGAGTGGGCTGGGCCGGTCCAGCTGCCGGGGAAACTGCACACACATGCCTCACACGGGCACACGGGCAGGAACACAAGTGTGGGCACACACGTGAGCACGCATGCACTGTGCACATGTACAGATGGGTGTGTTTGCTCGTGCACACAGGAGCATGGACGTGGACACACATAAACACACAGGCACACAAACCAGTGCAGACATGCACACGTGCACACGTGTGCATACACACGTGTGCACACAACATTCACATCTCCACGGGTATGTGCACGTGCGTGTGTGTACACCTGCATGCACCTGGTTACACGTGCACACACGGGACGTATGTGCATCCAGCTGCGTGCGTGCTCGAGCCACGCGTGTGCACAGGTGTGTCCTCCCGCACACACTCACACCTGTCCCTCCCTGCAGCCATGGTCCTGCTGTTCGTCACGTGGATGAAGCGCCGGGAGAAGGAGCGACACACGAAGCAGCTGCTCATCGACCCCGAGGACGACGTGCGCGACAACATCCTCAAGTACGACGAGGAGGGCGGAGGCGAGGAGGACCAGGTGAGACGCCCGGCCCGCGGCAACCAGCGCCTCCGAAGGGGCCGCGCGGAGTTCCGCAGAATGCGCAGAGCCGGGCGGGGCCCCCGCGCCCACCGCGTCCGGGCTGTGTCCTCCCCGGCCTGTCCTCCCCACCCGCCCTCGAGCGCCAACCCCAGCCGGTGCTGCACCGTCCCCGGGAGGGCAGGGCCCGGCTCCGAGGGCTGGGAAGGGTGTCTGGGCGGGGTCCGGGAGCCGCGGGGCAGAGGCGGCGGCGGGCCGAGGGCACACGGCCCTCCCCTGAGGACGGCAGGACTTGGGGGCAGTGCGGGCACGGGGACAGCACGGGGCGGGGCGGCTCCTGACGACGCGGCCTCTGCCCCAGGACTACGACCTCAGCCAGCTGCAGCAGCCCGAAGCCATGGAGCACGTGCTGAGCAAGGCCCCCGGGGTGCGGCGCGTGGACGAGCGGCCGGTGGGCGCGGAGCCCCAGTACCCTGTCCGGCCTGTGGTGCCCCACCCGGGTGACATCGGCGACTTCATCAGCGAGGTGGGTTCCCCGCAGCGCGAGGCCCAGACCCGGGGCCTCCGGTAAATTGAATCCTACCCGCGCGGCCAAGCGGTGAGGAGCGCGCAGCCCCTCCCCTGCAGGCGCTCGGGGCCTAACGGGGATCCCGGGCCGCCAGGGCCAGCGCGGCCGCAGGGAGGGCACCGAGAGCCCGGAGCGCCGGGCGTGGGGGCCAAGCCC